TCCACCCACACCCACACCCACACCCACACCCACACCCACACCCACACCCACACCCACACCCACACCCACACCCTAATAAATATCACTCATAGATAATGAATAAAACAAAAAATGCTGGATCATCTTCTCAGGGAAAAAAGGATAAACTTATCATTACGTATATGTGCAACAGAAGTCTCATTCTCATCTTGAATGCTGAGTATTGTCGTGTTTTATTGAGTGAAATAATATTCAAAAGGTGAGGGTGATGGTGGGGTGTGGATGTAGGTATGGGTGCGCGTGTGTGGCTATGGGGTGTGGGTCTGGATCTGCGTGGGTGTAGGTGTGGGTGAATGTGGGTTTTGATGCGAGTGCCGGTGTGGGTGGGTGTGCGTGCTGATGTGGATGCGGGTGTTGGTGTACTTAATCTCTTGAGTCACAACCACACCCCCACGCCGATACCAACATCCATATTCACATCCACACCCACACTTACACCCACATCCACCCACATCACACCCACACCCTGTTGTATTCGAGATTTTTCATCGCGAACAGGTATATGCAATTACCATTCTACTCTTTCAGTAGAAGAGTGTAATTTTGTCTCGAATTGATTCGTTTTCGAATTTTCTTTTCGGAAATTGTAATCGACTTAGATATACTAAGCCACCTAATGAGACTTTCTAAGCAATATTCGAAACGCGTCGTGGTAGCTTCTACACACCCACACCACATCCACACCCATACCCACACCCATACCCACACCCATACCCACACACACCCACACCCACACCCACACCCGCCAACACGCACACTCAGACACGCGCACACACCCACACCGATACCTGCACTCACCGCATACCCCGAGCCACGCCACATCCTTTATGGCTGATTGATTTGTGTCATCAGATCTTCTCGTCTGAAGAGAAAGTTTAAATAGAAATACAGGAGGCTGAATATAAAAAGTGCGCTGTATTTGTGTGACTCAGTCGTTTTAACTGGGTCACTCATCATCGTCAGAATCATCGGTACTACAGGCCGTTGTTGCTGTGACGTCGTTCTCCTGCTTCTACTCGTCATCATTGTCAGAATCGTCGGTACCACTGGCCGCTGTTTCTGTGTCGTCGTTCTCCTCCTCCTCCTCCTCCTCGTCATCATCGTCGGTACCACTGGCCGTTGTTTCTGTGACGTCGTTCTCCTCCTTCTCCTTGTCATCATCATCAGAATCATCGGTACCGCTGGCCGCTGTTTCTGCGACGTCGTCCTCCTCCTTCTCCTCGTCATCATTATCAGAATCGTCGGTACCACTGGCCGTTGTTTCTGTGACGTGGTCCTCTACCTCCTCCTCCTCCTCCTTGTCATCATTGTCCCCATAGCTGCTATGTTTGTTGTTATTATAGTAGAAAGTACCGCCGCCAAACGAGCCTAAACAAATTAATTTCGGAAGTTAAACTTCTAAATTTACAGGTGCTTGTGTCCTCATTTTTACATATTACAGAAGGAAAGGGCTGGGACTTTTTCGATTTTTATCTGCTCATACCCATTGTACTGTGATCTCTTGTACCATTTGAATAACTAGCAGTCATATTGGGTTGGTAAGAAATTTTTGTAGTTTTTTTTTTGAAAATTTTCTTTTTATTTTTTAATATTAAGAATACAACTAGCTTTCAACAATGTATGCTCCATTACTATCTATGACTTGTCGCCAACGCTCTGGTAGAGAAAGGATCCCGCGTTCGTAGAAGTCCTGGGACTTTTGGCCAAAGAAGTTGAGGAGGTCGATTTCCAGGTCGTTTTCGTCCTCGATCTTTTTCTCCTTCAAATGGTTAGAAAGAGAACGGAACTAATGGTAATCCTTAGGAGGATGTGGGTGGGTGTGGGTGTGACTGTGGATCCGACTAAAATGATATAACTAACTCCCACAGCCACACACATACCCACATCCACTTCCACAACCACACCCACACCGATACCCACACCCACACCCACACCCACCCACATCCTCCTACGGACTACCATTAGTTCCGTTCTCTTTCTAACCATTTGAAGGAGAAAAAGATCGACGCCGAAAACGACCTGGAAATCGACCTCCTCACCTTCTTTGGCCAAAAGTCCCAGGACTTCTACGAACGCGGGATCCTTTCTCTACCAGAGCGTTGGCGACAAGTCATAGATAGTAATGGAGCATACATTGTTGAAAGCTAGTTGTATTCTTGATATTAACAAATAAAAAGAAGATTTTCAAAAAAAAGCTTCAAAAATTTCTTACCAACCCAATATATAATGGTTCCTAGGATCCACTGTACATATCATGGATAAGTAAAACAGACTTATTTGTCAATTAATTCAATGATTGTAATAATAAGAATGTTAAATTAACAAAACGAATAAGAAAAACGAAAAATAATGAGCAAATAGCAACAATGTAAAAGGAAAAATAAGGCGCGCTAAAAAAAAGATTTCTGTTCGAAATGCAGAAATTAGAGAGGTCTTTACTCTTATGTTCGATTATCCTGCAAAACAACTATGGTCTACGAGAGGTTTTTCATTTTAGGCATTTTGTATTAGTTTAATGAGGCTAGAGGACATATGTGAGTTCCACATTTCAGCCCCAAAGGGGCTGCGCTAACAAGCTTTTTATCAATAATTCCAAGGCTTCGGTACTGCATTACAAGAAGATTTTTTGATTTAGTTGCTTAAGCTTCTACAGAAGATAGAGTACCAAACATTATTGAGTAAATATAAATTGTTGCAATGATTCCAGTGGTTCATCGTTCATCGGAGGTAAAAGCCGTGTTTCTTAGATAAGCCTTAGCTTGATACGGATTGATGAAGGCGGATAGGTGGACAGTGCATCGTGAGAGAGCTGCATCAATATTTAAATACGTAGCTACTGTAGATAGTTGAATAACTCGATAGTAATTGTCGGATTTCTTGTAGTGTTCTACACCATTTTTAAATAAACATTGATCGTTTCACATTATCTAGCTCGGCCTTTCGGCGTTGGAAAGGACGATGATCGGGCCGTCTATCTACAAAGGGTTTACTAGGTTCAAAGAGTTTTTCCACAGTTGTTGTGAGATTGACATTTTTTTGTTGTCCATCTGTATCAATTTTTACAAAACCCGACTCTAGTTGCATCAAGATCGAGCGCAGATCATCCATTATTAGGATGCGACAAATTCAAAACCATGGGATTTGGTATACAAAGATTTGGTTTTCATCTGGATTTGGATTTGGTCTTGAATTACCCAAATCCAATTTGGCCCTGTACGATAAAGATCCGCAACGGCGAAATAAATACAAAGCCTTCAAATTCGATATGAAATCGTTCGGATTTGTTCTAGATTTGGATTTGGATTTGGATTTAGTATGGAAGATTTGGGTTTGGTTTTGGTGCTTAGGATTTGGATTTGGACTTGGTATGCAGGATTTGGGATGGGATTTGGACTTGGGCTGGGATTTGGATTTGGGCTGAGATTTGATTTTGGACTAGGGGTGGGAAGTTACCGTTGCCAGTTACCCGGGAACGGGGTAACGGTCCTACTATTGCGGGATACCTTGGGTCCTCAAGTGCTACTATTGGGGAATACTGTTGGGTCCTCAAATCCTACTATTGGGGGTACCCTTAGGTCCTCAAATCCTAATATAGGGAGATACCATAGGGCCCTCAAGTCTTACAATACGCCGGTATGCGCCGCATCATCTAGGATGCTAGAGGCATCACCGGAATGCTAGAGGAAAAACTAGGATACTAAAGCTAATTGGTTGATAATCGACCAATCAGGTGCCACGAAGCGGTTTCTTCGCTATTGCAAGGATAAAACATTGTCATGTTCGGGTCAACTAAAAGAGGACCCCACATAACCCTAAGATCGGCCCGAACAATCCTCTGTTTTGTCCGAATAATACAGAAAAAAACCGCATTACAATCTGATTGGTTAATACTCGACCAATCAGATTCTGGGAAGCTATTTCTCATCTATTGTAAGGGTAAAACATAGGGTGTTTGGGCCGATCTGAGAGTTATCTGGGGGTGCTCTTTCATTGGATCCGAACATGAGTAAATTATGTCCTTACAATAGCGAAGAAAAAGCTTCTTTGCAGCTGATTGGTCGATTATTAACCAATCAGATTGTAGCGCGGTTTTTTCCTCTATTATTCGGACAAAACATAAGGTTGTTCGGACCGATCTTAGGGTTATCCGGGGGTCCTGTTTTAGTTGATCCGAACATGACAATGTTTTGTCCTTCCAGTGGCGAAGAAACAGCTTCCTCGATTCTGATTGGTCGATTATTAACCAATCAGATTGTAATGCGGTTTTTTTCTGTATTATTCGTACAAAACAGAGAATTGTTCGGGCCGATCTTATGACTATCTGGGGTCCTCTTTCACTTGACCCGAATATGACAATGTTTTGTCCTTACAATAGCGAAGAAACCGCTTCGTCGCATCTGATTGGACGATTATCAACCAACCAGCTTTAGCATCCCAGTTTTTCCTCTAGCATTCCGGGTGATGCCTCTAGCATTCTAGATGATGGTACGTACCCCCGTATTGTAGGACTTGGAGACCCAAGGGCACCCCTACAATAGGACTTGAAGACCTAAGTGTACCCCTCCTATAACAGGACTTGAGGACCTAAGGGTGCCCCCCGTAGTAGGACTTAACGACCCAAGGGTACCCCTATAAAAGAACTTCAGGATCCTATGGCATTCCCTTCCCATAGTAGGACTAGAGGACCCAAGGGTACCCCCATATAATAGCTCTTCAGGGTGCATAGATAGCTCCATAGGATAGCCCTTGAGGACGGTCAAAAAATGTGAGCTCCACACGTAAACTCCAAATTTGGAGCTCACTTGCGCATCCAGATTTTGCCATAATTTGGAGTCCATGTTTTATCTCAAGGCCTATCATCTGCGGTACCCATAGGCCCTCAAGGCCTATCATCTGCGGTACCCATAGGTCCTCAAGGCCTATGATCTGCGGCATCCATAGGTCCTCAAGGGCTATCCTATGGGATACCTATAGGTTGTCAAGGCCTATCCTATGGGGCACCCATAGGTTCTCAAGGTCTATCCTATGGGAGAACCCACCGGTCCTCAAGGGCTATCCTATGGGGGTACCCACAGGTCCTCAATGGCTATCCTATGAAGATACCTACAGGCCATCAAGGGCTATCCTATAGGGATATCCGTAGGTCGTCAAGCGCTATCCTATGGAGGTACCCACAGACTCTCAAGGGCTATCATATGGAGATACCTACAGATTCTCATGGGCTACCCTACCGGGCATCCATAGGTCCTCAAGGGCTATTCTATGAGGGCACCCACTGTGCCTCAAGAGCTACCCTATGGGGGTATCCATAGGTTCTCAAGGTCTATGCTATGGAAGTACCCACAGGTTTTCAAGAGCTATCGTATGGGAGTACCTACAGGTTCTTAAGGCCTATTCTACAGAGATATCCAGAGGCCCTCAAGCCCTATCGTATAGGCATACCTATATGTCGTCAAGGGCTGTCCCCTAGAGATGCTCGTAAGTCGTCCAGTTTTCCTAGGCGTTATCCATAGATCTCTGAGGCTTATCCGATATTGATATTCGTAAGTTCTCAAGTGCTACGAAGTAAAGAGTCAATAAGTTCACAACGACTACTGTATAATGGTACCCAAAAGTAAGTGTGTGACAGCACCAGCCGAGTTCATTGAGCTGTAGCTGGTCAGCTAGGTGTCTTTTGCCTGAGCTGGAGATGTATACCCGCTCTTACACTCAATTCTCGTGAGGTGTGGAGCTGGAGCTGTTAGAAATATAACACTGAATAGACCTTTCGCTGTAGAGGAACGAAAACTGTACCCAAATTTGCAAACAAAAATCCATTTGGGATTATATTACATGTCAAGTAAAATCACTCCTCGCAGAAGTCGATTACGTCAAAGTAAGAAAAACAGTTCGCTCTTACTTCCGAAAGGAAAACTAAAATGTACGCCGCTTATGTTACGGCCTTACTCACTATTTCCAAAGGGGGAAGAAACTGATTTTGTGATTTCGTGATTTCAAGTGACTTCAGTGATTTCAGGTGGTTTCAAGTGATTTCAAATGATTTCATGTCCAGGTCGAAGAAGCAGATTTTCAGATTTTCAGATTTCAAAAGATTGCAAAAGCTTTAGAAAGATTTTAGTGATTATATATGCCAAGATTGCTGTTTGCCCTTCATTAGAATTAATCTGTTTTCGCCTGTCTTCATTAGGGCTGCCCAGTTCACCCGGTGAAACGCTCATGAGCGCGAACTCCATTTTCAGATTGTTTCTCAGCTATTGCAAGGACAAAACATACGGTTATTTGAATTATATGAAAGAGGATACCGAATAACCCCAACATTGGCTCGAACTATCCCATGTCTTATCCTTATAATAGTAGAAAAAAACGTACTTTAATCTAATTGGTTGATAATTGACCAATCAGATTCGAGCAAGCTATTTTTTTGCTATTGTAAAGACCAACCATACGCTTGTTCGGGTCATATGAAAAGGACTCCGAATAACCCTACGATCGGCCCTAATAACCCAATGTTCATTCCCTCACTGGCATCGGCAGTGGTTAGACGCATTCTTTTCGAATACTTCACCCTTCCTTTCTCCACTTTTTTAAATATACACTCTATATTGAGTCTTCTTACTTCAAATCTCATTCTGAGAATTGAGAGAAAGGCGGTCAATGACCTCCTCAAGTGACATCATTCATAAAAGCATAGAGACACAGCAACCAGTTTACGTTTTAAATGAAAATTCTGCGAAAGAACAACAAATAGTTTATTATACAGTTCCTGTTAACATGC